CAGCCCTCCACCCGCCCCACCAGGGCACAGACTTCTCTGTTGCCTTAGGGATAGCCAGATAGACTTGCAGCCTAAATAGTTTCAGGAATGAGGTTCTGAGTGAGCAGTATGAAACCTTTATGTGTCTTTAGTGAAACACTCTTGTTGCCATTTGTTCCTTTTCTTTGAGAAGGAAACATTCCTCCTCAGAGGAAGGTGGGGATATTGGCTCCTGTGCACTGAAAAAGGAGAAGAGTTTTACTTTTGGAAGAAGGTTCTTTCAGTTTAGTGCATGAAATTGGGAAGATAGCAAACAGACAGATATTAGTACTTCTCTTTAATTTATTTCTGTTTTGGTAAATGTGGTTTCTGAGCTTTTCAGGAAGAGTTGACTTCGGCCTCCATTTCTGCAAACCACAAGTTGGCTCTCAGGAAATATGTGGCATTTAGGTACTTTTTTGAAATTGGTAGCAGCTCATCATTAAATAGAATTGGTGGTTTGTGATCAGGCCAGTCTTACTCATCAAAAATTTGTAAAGGGGCAGCAGGAAAAAGAATATAATTTTTTTTTAATGCTTAACTCAAAATATTTCGTTATGTTTTAGCAGGTACTAAGCTTTTTATTCTTAGATTACCCATCATTTTTGGTTTAACCCAAAAGACTTTTTTTTTTAACTAGGATTCTCCTCTGAACCACAGACTTTAAAAAAAAAAAAAAAAAAAAAAAAAAAAAAAAAAAAAAAAAAAAAAGGGAGGGGATGAGTGTTTTCTCAACTCTCCCAAGGATGATAATGTCAAGAACTTTAAAGTCTGAAATCGTACTCTGCTTACAAGCTACCAGATTTGTCTGCTATGATTTCATGGATTTTGGCAGAAGACACGGGACTCGTGGTGAAAAGACTACTAATTACAGCGGTAGCAATGCTCACAGTATCAGCTCTTTGACCTTCAGTTAACAAAGGGTGGTGCCCCACGGGTGGAGGATACCTGCATAGAGTGTTCTAAGAGAGGACGGGGGTCAGTTGGTTAAGTGTCTGCCTCTTCATTTTGCCACAGGTCATGATCTTAGGGTACTGAGATTGAGCCCTGTGTGGCACTCTGTGCTGAGTGTGGAGCCTACTTGGGATTCTCTCTCTTCCCCTGCCCCTTCCCCATGCATGCGTGCTCGTTCGCTCTCTTTCTCTCAAAACGAAAACAAAAAAACAAAAACAAAACAAAACAAAAAAAACAAGAGGAACCCAGAGCTTAGGAAACCCAGATCTTTCATGGTGGTTATTAAAGCCTGCTTTTTTCTCTAGGAGGAGACCCAGTCTCTGTCTTCCCAGGCTGTTTGCCCAATAGACATCCTTGTAAAGATAGTCTAGGACAAAGGCAGAAGTGCAGAACAGTCGTAAGAAGTGCAGAACACAAGAAACCCATCAAGAATTGTCTCCTACCACATAGGTAGCTGGAACTATTCTAAATATATAGGAGAGATGTGACTGATATACATGATGCCCTAGGGCTTAATTCTCTTCTAGGGCTCAGGCTAAGAAAAACGGAGTCCTTTGTCTAGGCGAGGGGGGGGTGGGGGCTGCCATTTCCAAAATGCCCAGTGTTTCTGTCAAATGTATTAAGAGAAAGAGACTATCAGAAATTTAATTTAAAAGCTAATATTTTCCTTCATTGCTTTTTGGGAAAATATAAGTAGTATATTTTAACCATTAAATACAGCTGACCCTTGAACAGGTGTGTTTGAACTGTCCAGGTCCACTTAGGTGTGGATTTTTCTCAATAGAGTACAGTGGTGTAACTGTCTTTTCTCTCCATTACAATTTTCTTAAAAACATCTTTCCTCTAGCTTACTTTATTGTAAGGATACAGCATATAATACATGTAACATACAAAACGTGTGAATTAACTGTTATTGGTAAGGTTTCCAAAGGTCAACAGTAGGCAACTAATGAGGGTTAAGTTTTTGGAGAATCAAGAGTTATATGTGGATTTTGGACGGCATGGGGGTCTGTACCCCTAACCATCACATTGTTCAAGGGTCAACTGTAGTTAAAGAAAAGTTTTTGATCCCCATTACAAAAACAAAAAACCCCAAAACAAACAAACAAACCCCACACCAAATTCTGAAAAGTAGGAGGTGATTTAGGTAAAGCAGCTTATGCTGATCATTTCTTGCTTTCAAAAAGATACGGACAGTGTGCTTTTGGGAGACACCTATGAAACATATTGCTATCTGACCTCTGTTGGCTAAAGTGAGAACTCATTTTAGGACTCTATTTATTTAATCACTTTATGCCTTATCCTCACTCCTCCTTGTGGAAGAAGCCTGTGAAAAGTTTCTTGTATCCAGCCAAGCATCTACTCTGTTTGTTTTCCAAACTTTGTTTTACTACATAGGTCTCTTATTTCATAGGACTTCCCATTCTCCAGGTAACTTCTTATGCCTCCTCTCCATAGAGATTGTTCCCAGACTTGGGTTTTGCTGCCTGTTAGGGATATTCCACCTCGCAAAGGTTGTGCCATGTGGGATTCTGAAATCCAAAGGAGAAGTAACTGGGTCAGGCTTCTGAGCTATTGTGGGGAAAACCCAGGAAATTGAATACAGAAATGTAAGTCTGAATGGGAAGTCTGAACGGTTATCTTGGTGGCCTGTTGAGTGCTGGATCACATAGCACATCTATACGTTGAAGGACAACAAAAGGGTCACAGAAAACAAAGGAACAAAAAGGTTAATGTTGAGAACTTGACCCTGAGCCAGGATTGCTGATTCTGAGTCCCTGTTTTGGGACAGGATGGAGAAAGCTGAGCAAAGGGATAGGCCCAAACTTTCTGCACCTGCCGTTCCAACAGTTCTTTCACTTTCCAAAAGGAGTGTTTTTCCTTTACCAAAAAAACAAAGCCATGTTAAAAAAAAATAATATGTAAAGATTAAGTAGATAATAGCTATAAAATTTATGATCTTTATTTTTTAAGAGCCTTGTAAATATAGTCACATTGTTACTTTATCTTCATCCTGTAGCTGTCCTCCCTCTCAGCAGATGGATGGCCATCATTTAATCACTAGGCTATTTATGACCTGAACGAGTTGATGGGGGTGTGGTAAAACATCTCATCTTCCACCACCACCACCCCAGAAGCACCTTGAATAATTGCTGGGAGATGAAATGGGAATTGTTTGGCTAAGTGTGGTCTTAAATTCTCTGTCAGACCTTCCCTCATCCTCTCCCTTTTGATTAGTAAGACACCATTTAAGGTTCATTTTCTGATAAAGAATTGAGTGACTTTTTTGCTGCTGGTAGTACAGATCATCTGAGATTTATAGGTTTCTTTGCTTGGTATGAAATAGGTTTTATGAGTTCCAAATGAATTGGCTGGATAGGGGGATTGTAAATAAATTGTTCGAAAAATAATGTTTTTTAAATGTGAGCCCCTGTCCCCTTTTCTGGGCAAAGGGTAGGAAACCTTCTAGCATACTAAATACCTATCAGGTCAGTAATGCAATATTTCATGTACTTGATTTATAAAATCCAGTTTTAGTTGTAGAATGTCTGAATTGGTTGTTAAGATGTCCGTGGAAGACTTCATGTGCCCAGCACTCTGCCTGGATCTGTAAGGTCTACCGAAAGAGTTAAAGACCTGATTATAACCCAAAGGCAAGAGAAATATCTGAAACAGTCACAGAACAAGGATGGGCCTTCAGAGAAGATCTGTAATTTAGTCCAAAGGAGAAGCATTTGGGCAGGCAGGTCTGGAGCTGAGCCAGGGAAGGGACAGATCAGGGCTGGCAGAGGGGTTGGGGAGCCTGATTGGTGAGGAGAGACCTGAGGCACAGGGTGGGGGACCACTGGGGGAGCAGACATGGAGGGGGTACATTGGGGAGCACACTAGTTCTTGGGTAGGCGGATGGGGCAGACTGGGTCTCAGGTGGCTGAGGGTGGCTGGCCGAGCCAGCTAAGTGGGAGGAATTAGACTGGGGGCTTAGTCAGGAGACCACAGAGGTGACACAGGCATGAAGCGATGAGAAAGGGAGTCTCCTGACACTGAGGAGGAGGTAAAGACGAGAATAGCATGGGAGCTCTTGGAAGTAAAAATGGATAGAACTCGATGTTAGCTGTGCTACAGAAGAAAGAACCATAGGTAATGCTCAGGAATGTGGAAGGATAAGGAAGCTGCTCATGGAAACTGGTTTTAGCTGAAGAGGGTGAATTTGAGGTGAAGAGCATTTGGGTGTAGCAGCCATTGAATACATGTGTGTTGAGAGTGTAATTGAAATGAGAAACTTCCATCGCTGTGCTTTTAAAGTAAGCTTCATATACTAAGTCACAAGCCTCCAGTGTGAGATAATTGAAACATAATTTAATTCCAATCAACCCATATTTATAGAACTCTCTTTTACATTTAGGCCCCTCCATGAGTCTGTTCACTGACCTTTATATGTTAGCTTTTTTTTTTTTTTAAATTTGCAAATGAGAGTTAAATGGAAACGTTAAGGTCATCAAAGATTTTTGCTGCTCATGGGTTTCTGTCTCAAATGCTGTCTGTGGTCTGCTCTAGAGGAATCTTGATTCCTGGCTGCAGTTTTTTTCTGAGTTGTTCCATGTACACAACCAGATGAAAAGGCTTTAAACATTAATAGACCATGTCTTGAATTTTTGGAGCTACAGGTAATGAGTTTGACTGTAGATTCTGGCACTTTCCTTAAAAGCAGAAAACACGAGTATCTCAAAAGTCCAAGCAGCTAGTCTTGGCAATTGGATTCTGGTGTCCTAATTAGTGAACTGATTTGGTGCTAGGATGGGCAAGACTCGATCTCCACAAACCTGGAGAAGGACTAGGCATCTCTACTTTTGGGTTGTGGCTTTTGGGGCTACAAGACCAGGAAGGATACAATGAGAACTCTGTCTCTTCTGGTCATCAGGAGAGATGAGGAAGCTATCATCTTAGCCAATTAGGAATGCAGTTTCATGTATTTGGTGTTCTATTGCCTTTATTACTATTAATCCTGTTCTTCCAACTTCCACCTGTAGCCCCTGCCAGACGCGATCACCCATGGTCCAGTGGCTTAACACGCAGTCCCCGACCACCCCAAGCTGCAGCCCAGCGATTACACCGCCTTCACCCAAGCCACCGCCTTCCCCCGTTTCTCTTCCCACCACCATAGTGGACAAGCCTCCTGAAAGGTACGGGGTTTGGAAAACGATGTGGAAGACAGGCAGCACGCAGAAAGGGCTTGACCAACCTGAGCAGGTTCTTGTGTTCCTTGTGGGGGGCTTGCTCAGGATCTCCCGGCCTCCTGGACCTCGTGGACAACATCGACAACCTTGTCTCTGACTGTGTGTTGGTTCAAGAGCAAGTAGCTTGTTAGGAGAAATTGGCTCTATGTGAGTGCTGCTCGAACCTGCTGTCCTACTCTGTCTTTTTGGTGCCTGTTGTGCATTTATGAAACTGCTTATTTTGGAAGAATTTCTCATCCATGAATATAAAACACACGCTGTTTTTTAAAGGAAAGTAAACTGGGCATTGGGAACAGGAATTAACGTGGCCGTTTAGTGGGCCAGTTGTGCAGGAGCCAGAGGTGCTGGCCCAGCAAGCTCTTCTTCCTGGGGGGTAGGCTGAAGTTCTTATCATCAGCGGCTCCCCCCATTCCAGTGAGGTGGGACGCTTCCTTTGCTGCAGTTTGCATCTGGCTAAACAGCATGTTTTCCATCCTCGCCTGTGTGCTCTTTCCCCAGAAGGGCACAGAGGGTGTTTTGATGAGCGGTGAGAAGCTGAGCCTGAAATGCCTTTTTCAGGCAGAAGGGAGGGGGTCAAACAGGGGAGACCCAACTCAGAACAACAGGCTCCCTCCAGAGTGACGTGGGAAGCAGACTGTCAGTCTTGCCAGATTGATGTCGGCAACACACTGCTGAAGTCACTTGGTGTGTGTGCGCCTCTGCCCTTCACCGCCTGGCCTTCTGTCTCAAGATAGTAGTGCCTCCCTTAATAGGTAAACTAAGGGCTTAGGAATAAACACACCCTGTGGCTCTGACAATCTGAGAGGAAAGGGCATCCCACCAGGCAGAGAGGACAATTAGGTGGAGAGGTTCATCGAAAGCTTCTCAGAGAAGCTCCCCGAAGAAAGATTTGAATTTGAAACCCATCATTTACTTGAAAATCAAGTGCTGGAGTTCCGCCTGCTGTTCACTTCCCTGCTATTTTTTTTTTTCTTTTTCTTTTTTGGAAGGAGTTGTCCCACTGGTGCTATAGAAATGAGATTTGGGAAGGGAGGGTTGGGGTAAGGTGAGGTTTCCCCCTCCCGGTTTCTCATATTTTAATTTGTGTCTTGCACGTTCCCTTTTCAGCGTTGTCAACCGGAAGGCTCGAGCAGTATATCCGTGTGAAGCAGAACACAGCTCAGAATTATCTTTTGAAATAGGAGCAATTTTTGAGGATGGTGAGTGTTAGCGGGAGCTTGGTAGTAGCATGTATTCTGTCCTCCCCAGAATGTCTGTAATCCAGCCTCGGGTTGTGGGTTTGTCAGGAGCACACATCTATCCCTTGACACTTTGGACAGGAGAGAGCTGGCCCCTTTGGCTGCCAGGAACTGAACTCCGGCGGGGGGCTATGGAGTTCAACTTCTGGTTTCATCTTGTTTATTCTCCAACCCTTTTAACTCTTGCGTATCTTCGTTCAGGACATCTTTTTCCTGATGTAAAGAAGCTAGTGCCACTGGGAGTTGGATACTTCTGATTTGCATCCTTTGTTTGCTTCTCCCAGAGTCCCCCGCCAAGCCTCCTAAGTGCTTCAGGTTCGCCAAGTATGAGTTACAGAAGAGTATACTCTTGTCGAAAAATTTGGTTTATAGTTTCTCTTAACCATTCTTAGGCTTTACATGATTTTTTTCATTTGAATAGTGTGTGAATCTCTAGATTTGAGTATTGCCTCTGCATATTGAAACAAGGGTATGGATTTTATCCGAGTCTTTAATATTCATACACATGCATGGAGGATCTGTGCCCAGCTTAATATTTCACAGATTTCTCCTATGGTTCATTGTTTATCTCTTTTCCCCCAGTCTCTTGATATCTTCCTTAACAGCCCTGCTCATCATGAAATTCATTGGTTGCTGTGGAAACAGTGATGCGTGGGGGTGGGACTGCCCAAAAGAGTTCTGTGGAGACAGTGAGGGTCTTAGATGCCTGGAATGTAATGGTCGATTAGCCAGAATGTGTGGAATATATGGAATATAGGAATACAACGCCTAGTGGTATATTGTCAGTAATGTAGCATTTGCTCGTGGTGATTTTTTAGAAAGGAAGTTAACTGTCTCCTGTAGAGGCATATATAGGAAGGACATGTACTCTTGAGAGCCAGGGACTCTAGATAGTGTCAGAAAACAAACACCACCACCAAAACCCTACATATGAAAGAATTATACTCTATGGAGAACTTTTGTTCTTGGAGTTGAAGCAAGATCATTCCTCTATCACCATAACATACATACCTGTGATTTTGCCAGGATGGCGTGGTACAATAGCCACCTACTCTAGCCCTGTCACATACTGGCATACCATATGGCATGAGGGAATGCTGAGACAGTAGTGTTGAAACCCACTCATCTGAGAAATGATGGTGAATTTGTCCATCGTGTGATTAGATTTGACTGGGAGCCTCTGAAATCCTTTAGACTGTATCATTTGAGAGATATTTACCTTTGTAGAAGGCGTTATCTATTAGGATGCCTTTGGCTGCAAGTAATGGAAACTGACACAAATGGCTAAATTGTCATTAAGATGGATTAGTTCATATAATGATAAGTCCGGAAGGGTTGGTTAATTCACATTCTCAAAGATATCATCAAGACCACAGTGGATCCATCTCTGCTGAACTTCTTGTGGTCACAGTTTGTGGGCAGGGGCCTCTGGCCAGCATCCCCAGTGGGGATGAGATGGCTGCCACAGCCCAGTCATCGACCCTAATAGAAGGAGGTGGCTCAGTTGAGCATCCAATTTTCAATTAGTCGTGATTCTAGGGGTTTGGGATTGGACCCTGTATTGGGTTCCACACTGAGCATGGAGCCTGCTTGAGATTCTCTCTCCCTCTCCACCCCCCACTCACTCTTGTTCTCTCTACCTCCATCCCGCCCTCAAAAAAAGAAAGAAAGAAAGAAAAACTTTTCTAGAACTTCTTTCCTAATTTACCTGCTCTGATGTTTCAGTAGCCAGAACAAGGTCATGTGCCCACCTTAAACCCATCACTGGCAAGGACTTAGGGCAGTCTGAACCACACTGGGTGCAGGGACACCTCCTGCGTGCGCACACACACACACATATGTATATACACGTATACATGTGTGTACACACATACCAGTATCTCATTGTGTTTAGAAAGAGGAGAGTTAGCAGAGATCTATGCATTGCCAACTCTGCAGTTATTTTGCCTGAGAGCAGATTGGCCTTTCTACTTTCTCTGTGCTTTTGGGCAAGTTCTTTGAGTTCTCTGTGTATCAGATTCTCCATCCGAATCTTCGAGGATGTCTACAAGAGTGATGCAGTGTAGGACAGCATTTGGGGCCATGGGTAGGTAGGGCTTTGAGAACAGCACAGACCTCTGTGGAGGACGATGCCGACCAGGGAGCCACTCTTGGCACACCTCGGTGTGCCGTGGTCGGGCTCCTCTTTGAGCCAAGGCCTGTCTCCCTCACATTCAGTGCTCTGTAGTCCTGGTGTCCAGCCCTGTCTGGACCACTGGCTGGGGCACCCAGGGTGTCTCAGTTGTTCCTCTGTCTCTTCCTGAAGGCCAGCTGCTCCGCAGATGGGTCGACACCGTCTCCCTACACGAGCGTGTGAGCATCTTATTTTATGTGAGCTGCTTGTGTTGCACGTGCCTCCCTGTGACCTTCTGGTAGTGGTACAAATAAGCACAGTGGAATGCATTCAGAGCCTCCACCATCAGACTTGCTGTGTCTTAGGGCTGGTTCTTAAAGGGTACAGAAAATCAAAGGCCCTTGAACAGGATTTATTCTTTTTTATGTGTTTGCACCTTCATCGCTGTGCATGATCTCTTTGCAGAGAATTTATAATTAGTTAAAACTGTGTGCTTGCTCAGAAACTGTCTAAGGAAGCACTTCCTTGACTGGTTTGGGGTCTTCCCTTCTGATGACTGACACAAAATAGGACAGATAGGCAACTCATCCAGCCTCAGCTTCTGTGGAGCAAGGCTGAGCTCCAGGTGGCCACCATTATAGCACAGCCCACAGGAATGTGGCCGGGAACACACCCTTTCTGCACACCAGCAATACTTAGGCCCCTAAAATGCCCAAGACGCTCTTGCTGTGTCCACTTGTCCACTGGAGTCTTGCAGCTGTCATTAAATGCTCTTGCAGAATAATCCCCTTTTGTCCCTCATATGGGCAACAAAGGAAATTGGTTTATGGCATTCAGTGGCCTTCGGTAAAGACAAAATCCAGGTCAAAATGGCCCCTGAGCCACGTTGTCAGTAGTTATGTGGTTTGTAATATATACAACAGTAAGAAACCCTAAACCAGAGTGTGGAAGAGAAAGGGATCTGTAGTAATTAAGTAGCTTGATAGCTGTTCCTTGCTCTTTGCTCTTACTGTGTGGACCTGGACTTAAGTTATGGGTTTAAACTCTAGGCTAAAGATTGATCTGTATGGTAGACACATGAGTGCTTAACCATTGTTCAGGGGAAATGCCTCCCCTATCCCCCAGGGAAGGCAGTGTTTGCAAAGTCTCAGAGCAGCCTATATTCCTGTGACTGTCCTATGGACCTTCCCTTTTCTTTTGGCCTGGGAACTCCAGAAACACTTTAGCCTGGTGACCAGTTAGTCTTGCTCTCTTTTCAGGTAGGCGGCCCTTCAGCTGGTAGACCCTCCAGGTCAATGGGAAGTGGCATCCCTCCACAGGCTGCCGGGCAGGACCGGAGGGGCCCCTGGTGGGAGGATTTCCAGGAGCTGGCCATCTCTCAGACGCGCTTCCTAGACTTTGTTCATTTACACTTGGATACGTGATTGATCCAATGCTTTGGAGAGCAGGTGTGGCCCAGGTTGATCTTGTGAAGCTTCTGGTGATTCCTTTTAAAGGTCTCAAATATATAAAGAGTAATCCTTGCAAAACAATTTAGCATTATCTTGGCAGGTTGAATCTGTACAGAACCCACAACCCAACAGTTGTACTCCTAGATCTATTCCTAACCTTGAGGAATCTTTACATATGAAGTAAAAAAAGGGAGTGCCAGAAGAGTATATAATGTGGTTCTGGCTAAGCTTGGAAATAAGCAAAATAAATAGTCTATTATTTAGAGATATGAACAGATGGGATGAGATTGTGTTTTAACCAGAGCCAGGGTAAGAGAATGAGAAACAGAACATTCAAGCTCCTGATCACCTCAGGGTAGGAAGGGGCTTTGGTGAGGGGATGGCATAGGGACAAGCCTAGGACAAGGCCTCTGTATCAGTCACACATTACCTGGGTTCTGGGTATTCACTATATCATGATGATGCTTCAGTGACTTGAATATTTGTCTTACATCTTGTTTTTATTATGCTAGAAAAAATCCCACCATATTCTCTTCTGGAGGAAGCTTCTTACAAATTATTCTTGTCTCTAGCTCTCGTGCCCCTGTTGTTATGGGGTGGTAATTCACGAAGACATGGAAAACACACAGTGAAATTTCACCTCATATCCATTAGGATGGCTGTTAATCAAAAAAACATCTAAAGTCACAAACAAAAAAACTAACCCTCTGGGGGCACCTGAGTGGCTCAGTCGGTGAAGCGTCTGACTCTTGATTTCGGCTCAGGTCATGATCTCACAGTTCTTGAGTTCGAACCCCACATCAGGCTCTGTGCTGACAGTGTGGAACCTGCTTGGGTCTCTCTCTCTCTCTCTCTCTCTCTCTCTCTCTCTCTCTCTCTCTCTCTCTCTCTCTCTCTCTCTCTCTCTCTCTCTCTCTCTTTCTCTCTTTCTCTCTCTCTCTCTCTCTCTCTTTCCCACTGCCCCTCCCCTGCTTGAGTGCACACTCTCTCCCAAAATAAGTAAACATTAAGAAATCTTTAAAAAAAAAAACCTCAGAGGGGCGCCTGGGTGGCTCAGTCGGTTGAGCGGCCGACTTCGGCTCAGGTCACGATCTCGTGGTCCGTGGGTTCGAGCCCCGCGTCGGGCTCTGTGCTGACAGCTCAGAGCCTGGAGCCCGTTTCAGATTCTGTGTCTCCCTCTCTCTCTGACTCTCCCCTGTTCATGCTCTGTCTCTCTCTGTCTCAAAAATAAATAAACGTTAAAAAAAAAATTAAAAAAAAAAAACAAAAAACCTCAGAAAGTAACAAGTATCGGGGACAATATGGAGAAATTGGAACCCTTGTGCATTGCTGGTAGGAATGTAAAATGTTACATGTAGCTGTTGGAAGGCAGTATGGAAAAAAATTGAGTACAGATTTACCATGGAATCCAGCAATTCCACTTCTGGATAGATACAGAGAAGAATTGAAAGCAGGGACTCAAACAGGTATTTGTACACCCATGTTCACAGCTGCCTTTTCACAATAGCCAAAAGGTGGAAACACCCACGTGTTCATTGGGTAAACAGAATGTGGCATATATATATATGTATAATGGAATATTCATCCATAAAAGGAATGAAAATCTGATACATGCCCCAGCATGGGTGAACCTTAAGGATATTATGTTAAGTGAAATAAGCTTGTCACAAAAGGACTAATAGTGCAGAATTCCACTTATATGAAATCCCTATAATAGGCAAATTCCTAGAGACAGAAAGTAGAATAGAGGCTCCCAGGAGCTCAGGGTGGGGAGTGAGGAGTTAGTGTTTAATGGACATAGAACTTCAGTTTGGGAAGATGTAAAAATTTTGGAAATGGATATGGATAGTGGCGATGGTTATATAACATTGCAAATATTCTTAATTCCCCTGAATTGCACACTTCAAAATTACTAAAATAGTAAATTTTAAGTGCTACATATTTTACAACAGTTAAAAAAACCCACACATATTAGGGAGCATTGGTATAATTGTCATCACGTACTGATTGGGTTCTTAAGGGTGTGTGACTTGCCCAGGACCACACAGCTCTATGTGGCAGGACAGGGTGTGGCCGAGGCCCTTCCACGGCACCGGGCACATAGTTAGTGCTCTCCAGTGCTTGCTGAGTGACTGCCATACTGTCTCCCTCTGTGTCCTGGGGGTCTTCAGTGAGCAGCTGCCTCTCCACGGCCTCTTGGTTGAGTGCTGGAGCTGCCGACCTGGCCCCGACAGGGAATTGTGGCCGGTGGCAGCCCAACGTCAGGGAATTTGGTGGAACTATCTTTAGTTCACTCCCCCCATTCCATTCCCATGCTTAGTGGCTTTGGGAGCATTTGAGGAAGGTATTTGCTACTCTTCAATGCTAGTTGGGGTCCCTGGCCCCCTACCCTTCATCTTAGTTGGGGCTTCTGTAACAAATACCACAGACTGGGTGGCTTAAGCAGCAGAAATGTATGTCCCACCATTCTGGAGGCTGGGAATTCTCATCAGCATGGTCGGGTTCTGGTGGGAGCTCTCTTCCCGGTTTCCTCACATGGTTTGTGTGTGTGTGTGGGGGCGGGGGGAGTAGTGGTAGGGAGGTTGGAAGGAGAGGAAGTGATCGTCTCCTGTCCTTTCTTACAAGAATACTTCCATCATGGAATGACACCTTCATGAGTCAGCTAACACATATCCCTCCCAAAGACCCTACCTCCTAATATCGTCCTGCTGGCAGTTAAGGTTTCAATGCATGAATCCTGGGCAGACACAAGCATGCAGCTCATAACACCTGTCTCGCCCTGTACCCATGGCCTTCTCCCAGCATGAGGCTGACAGGGGCTCCACAGTTGAAGGAGAGCCAAGCTCTTGGACTGAGACAGGCAGGGAGTGTACAGCCCTCAGGGACGGGCACCAGGGGCATGACAAAAACTGAGACCCACACACATTTACTTGCCTGCATTGGACAGGGGCATGGACATGGTGTGTGCCTGGCATCACATCTCATGTAAAGTGTCTCATTTTAATCTCAGCAGCAACTTCAGATCGCTTCTTGTCTTTTAGAAATGAGGAGCATGGAGGTCATGAGAGATGGAGGTAAATCATTCAGGGTCTCCCAGTCATTAGGGAGCCAGAGTTCAGCCAGCATCTCATTTCTCTTAGCTTCACTGCCTCTAGGAGTCAAAATCTTCCCAAAATGAGATTCTTATTTCCAAAACCACCTGTATCAGGGTTCTCCAGAGAAACAGAACACATAGGATGTGAGTGTGTATGTGAATGAGTGAATCGCTTTTGATAGATAGGTATTGGCTCATGCAGTTGTGGAGATGCAAAATCTGCAGGATAGGCCAGCAGGCTGGAGACCCAGGGAGTAGTTGCTGTCTGTGTCCAAGGGCAGGGTTCCCTCTTCTTTGAGGGATGTCAGGCTTTGTTCTGTTAAGGCCTTCAACTTCTTGAATGAGGCCCACCCATATTATGCAAGGTAATCTGCTTTACTCAAAGCCTGCTGGTTTCCCTGTTCATCACATTTAAACATCTAGAATAACATGTGAGTCTCATGGCCTAGCCAGGTTGACACGTGAAACTATCACATTGCCATTGGAGGAAATGGTTTGACCAGTGAAGTACAGCAAGGAGTCTAGGATGGGCATTTTGGGATTTGACGCTCCCAGGAGCGTGGTGAGACCCTCACCGGCCTCATCTGAAACCTCCGAGGCACTTTCCTGTGCCTGGGGAGGCCCAGCTACGGGTGCTCTGCACTCCTCCACCCGTTCCTGCCTTCCTGTCAGCCCTTGCCACTTCCAAGCTCTTGGATACTGTAAGAGGTCCTCTCAGTCCCCTAAGTTGGTGACATTTCTTTCCTACACTTCGGGGAATTGAGAGCTGCAGAGGAAGCAGATGAGGTATGGGTAAACCCCCTCGTCTAGCGGTAGGATGGGTACAGGGTTCCCGACCTAGCCTGGTTTCCTGTGTGCGGGCCTCCTTCACCCCTAGCTTTATGGGAAATTTCTTTTCTTTCTCTTCTGTTCAGCCCGTGTCCGTTAATCCTACTCCGTGTGAGAGTGGGCGTTGGTGTGTGTGTATCAGAGAAGAAACGATGAGCACATCCAAGGTGTTCTTCCATAAACTATTTGACGGCCTCCTTGTAGTAGTCCTACAGGCCAAGTGCTGTAACCCCATCTTGTAGGTGAGGAGGCTGAGCGGGGCCCTGAGGGTTAAGTAGTTCCCCAGGCGCACCTGGTTAGCACCTGTCAGCTGGGAGTCCCCTCCAGGCCCTCTGTCCTGAGCCTGGGGCCCCTTTCCATTGAGGTCCCCATGTTGCACAACCCCTGGGGGTCTTTCCCACGGCATCCAGTCCCCTCCCCTGCTGGTGGCTGCTCTGGTAGTATTGCCAGCTTGGGTGGTTTGGGATAAGTGGGAGCCTTTAAAAATGCTGCTCTGAGGCACAGCGTCAGGCTGGAAATCAGTGAGGGAGCAAAGAGGCAAAGGGGGACTTGCTGCCAGACTGCCTGGAGAGCACGTACCTAGTTCCTTCGCTGTTCATCCTTCAAACAAATCCTCACGTGCTGGGCATGGTGCTCGGGGTGCGGTGTCCCTGTCTCATGTTAGAACCTAGACTAGAAGGGAGACAGTCCATCTCCCTCTCCCTCTCTTCCCCTCCCTCCCTCTGTCTCTCTGACACACACACACACACACACACACACACACACACACACACACACAGAACACGTATGGTGTATAACTGGGTGCTCTGACCTAGTCTGGAGCACTAGGAGTGATCTCAGAGGGACGGACACCCAAGCTGATATCTGAAGGGTGAGGAGGCATTGTCCAGGCATATATAGGCCGGGAGGAGAGCGTCAGAGCTGAATGAACAGCTATGCGGAGGTCATACTGTGGGCTGCCACACGTTAGTGGCTTATGAACTGCATTTCCTGAGTTGCAGTCAGCATTTCAGAATAATAGAATAAAGAGAGTGCATTGCACATAGTGAGGGAGGTGTTGTTTGATGAAGCTTTTGTGTGTTGTGTACATGTCTGTGTATGCCGGCTTCTGATGCCCAGTAGTTCTTCTTATGGATAGCCATCACAGCTGCATTGCTCAGCCAGCTCCTGGGCTGGTGTGCTGGCCTAGGCCACACCTCCCCTCGCCTCTCCGCACACGGCCTGCTGTGGTCAAGGCCTGAGTGGCGGCTTGCCCACACTCGGGGGTTATTAGATGCGTCTGTATTTTACTTCTAAACCCTGGTGATGCCCTTTGCTGTCCAGCCTGTGGTTATTTTCTACTGTATCCGTCATGGATATTTATGGATACCTGCAGTTTGCTAGGCACCGTGCCCAGGGTGTTAGGCCTAGGCCCTGCCCTCAGGAGCACCCCATCCAGTGTGGCAGACACACAAGTGCCCAGATGACGCTGTGAGGCCTGATGAGTGCTGGGAATGGTCGAGGGAGTCTCCCCAGAGGATGGGGCATTTCAAGGTCTCTGAAGAGGAAGAATCACCTGGTGAAGAGGTGGGAGAAAGGCATTTCAGGTGGAAGGCATGGCACTGGTGGGGAGAGTGAGGGGAGACTGGAGATTCGGGTGGGCTGGGTGTCTGTGCATCAGACCAGTAGAAGCTTGGGTTTGTTCCTGGACACAGTGGACTTTAAGCGGGGGGACATGATCAGCTCTGTGTTCTAGAGAGTTCACTGAGCTCCTTTATGCATAGCGGATCAGGATGAGCCAGGCAGGCTGGAAGCTCGGGGACCGGTTAGGAGGCTGCCGCGAGGGGCTGCATGAGGTCTGTAGTGGCCAAGGGGCAGGTCCTATAAATAGCCCTTGTGCAGATTTGTAACCAGACATCCCAGACATGGGCCCCGTTCTCTTCTGGTTGATCCTTTAAGACACCCAGCAGTACAGTGAATTCCACAGGGAGCAAGTACTTGGGGACATTTTGGTAAAAAGCAATTTCTCTTCCTTTTCAGTGCAAACCTCGAGGGAACCTGGCTGGCTAGAAGGGACTCTGAATGGCAAGAGGGGGCTGATTCCACAGAATTATGTCAAGCTGCTGTAGTGTCCGGCCTGCGAGGCCCCACATGGACCTTTGGCTCCTGGGAACCTGCCTTCTTCCTCCAGGGCGGGACCCACAGGCCCCTGGACACGGGAACTTCAGACCATGGATTGGCACCTGAGGGGAGGGGAGGGAGACATCCCGCCAGCGGTGGGGGGAGCGGGCACACCGCACAGAACTGCGTAGATCTGTGGAGTGGGAGAAGAGTAGCAGGATTCGCAGAATGGACTTTTCATTTGTCAAGCCTGGGGACTTTGGACTGTGATTTTTAATTATCCAGTCTTCTGCCTGCCCAGCCTCCCCTGTTGGTGATCATCCCACCAGGCACTTCTCTGCACACGTGCTGCTGAGATGTAAAAGGGAACTGCACTTACTCGTGGTTGTTTGCAGGCTGTGCTCTTGGCTTTCTTTGGTTGATGTGGTGTGGAGGGGGCTTGCCGCTGGCAGGCGGGGAATTGGTCCAAACCCACAGGGCAGCAGAAAGACGCTCCTTCCTAGATGGCCACCGCTGGGACCCACATTCACTCTACTTAGAGCACACTGGCATATTTATAACAGGCTTCTCCTTGGTGCTTCTCACCTGTGTGCTCTTTCCCAAACACCACCTTTTTGCCCCAAGGTCTCTGTAAATGAAATAAAATGTAATTTACTATTTGATTTGTGTCATAATGTGGGGAAGAGATGGTGGAATTCATTCCCTCTGCAACGTTTTATGATTTGGCATCCAGTGGATAGAAACTCATTTTCCTCTGACGTTGGCACACGCAGGTAGAATTTATTAACAAGGAGCCTTGCTTATTCATAGCAGGGCGTATTCCTGAGGGCAGCAGACTTCCCTGACGTGTGAAATCCTGGAGGGGCTCCTCCAGCCACCGGAACAGGCCTTTCCCCCATGGCCCATGTGACTCCCAAGCAGGAGTGGGGCTGAGGCTGCACCCCACTCCACCCCCGGCCCCCCGCTGACTAGCTTCACCGTGCAAGTCTGTCCCCACCCTGCCCTGTGTTCCCTCTGTCTTCCAGGCCTCAGCACTAGTCTCTCCATCTGCCTGAAGCCCGGCCGCAGGGTGGCTGTCAGGCCTCAGCCACGACCCTACACGTTATGGTGCCCCACCTGTGGGTGGGCCACACTGTGATGCTTCCTCATTCTTTCCAGGCACAGATTCAGCCGAATTCCTCTCTGTCCTCTGTTCTGGAGTCCTGTGGAGTGTGGGACTCATTTTTAGGAGCCTCATCATTTTGAAGCCAGCCCCACCACAGAGCCTGCTGTGGGGGCGTGGCATGTCTCTCTTCCCCACAGGAGGTTCCTCAGCCTGTCAAACGTTTACTCCTAATAATTTGTCACAAGAAAGATGTGTCCGCATCGTCCCCAGATGAATTGATACAAGGTTTGCTGGCTCTCAGGTCTGAATTCACCTACACGGACCATGTAGAGTGTTCAGTTTAGGGTGACGGGTGTACAGGGGAATGGGCCTGTTGAAAAGTATCCATGTTTTACATCAAGACAGTCTCAGTGCAGCGTAATTTACAGTACTGAACTGTCCACTGGGAAAGTCCTGGGACTGCCGAGGAGCCCAGGGCCGCCCGACAGCAGCCAGCCCCGGTGTCCTGTTTTCTGAGTTATCACTTCCTGTACATGCCCACTGCTAAGGGATGCGGAAGGGAAACTTGGCTTATGAGAAGGAGTTACTGACGTGTCCCACTTTACAAAAGGCCTCTGCGGGAAAATGCAAACGTATGGGCAGTTGGAGTGGGCTCAGTACAGCACTGGGAGTGATTTCCTGGCAGTTTTCCTAATTGGTATATCCCTGTAGGGCATTGACAATAAGACCCACTGCACCAGGACTTGATTTATTTGCTTGCTTGGAGATTTCCATCTTTCACGGTGAGGTGCACCCCTACCCACAGTTATCCGTCAGACTACCAACTCCCAAAGTGTGTTTACCACCACACGCTTGATCAAGGAAATTGCTACAAAGTGTGACTACCTGTGTGATTTTGGGTAGTTTAAATTAAATTGATTCTGTGATTCTTCCTCCTAAAAAGAAAATGATGCCCAGAGGTTTGGGTTGAAATGATCTAATGCAAGTAGGATGCCTGGTATGTAGTACGTGTTCAGTGAATGGGAGCTGCTATTCCTTGTATTGTTCCCACCATGACCGTCACTTGCACCTCTGTTGTCAGGGCCATCTGTGTTCTGTAGGATGCCAGTGTGGTGGTCACGAAGCCTCAGAACATGCTGGATCCAAGGGCTCCGACAGCACCAAGCCCTGCAGTCCCCTCCTGTGGCTGTCGAGGGAGGAACGCCAGAGGGGACCTGGGGTGCTTTCCTCTGCAAACAGGACCGGTGTGGCCAGGCTTGCCAAGGCCTTCAGGTAGGGAGCTTCCCTCTGGGTCTGGCCCAGGGTATCAGGAGGTGTGCTCTTACGTTGGCAGATCATCTTCGTTTCCCCAGAAGAGAAATAGGGTATATTTGTTTCTCCGTTTCTGCTGCATGGATGTGGCCAATCCCCTGAGCGTCCGCAGGGCTCTGGCTCCTCAGCCCACCTCATCCAGCAGCCGCTCAGAACGGGTCTCCAGCTTGTATTCATAGACAATCACCAAGGGGATTGGGGATGAAAACAGACACTCAGGTGCTGCGTTTCTGCTTGCCATGGGGCTGGCTGTGGGGCTTGCATCTGATTTCATCGCCCAGGGCCTGTTCTGCAGACCATATAAGAAGATGCCATGTGAGATCAGAGCTAAAGACCTTGTACTGGTTTTCCCCCTTCCTTTATGTAGCAAAAATATCTGCACTTGCAGGTATGGGCAGGGAAAGCAGTGGACTCTGCCAGTGAAGGATGGTTAACTCATTCTTGCCATACAGTGATCGAATGAGCCAGGAGAATTTATCCCGTTTTATGGATGGGAAGATGGAGGCTCTCAAGGACAAAGAGCCTTGCTCAGGTTCAGTCAGCTGACTACATGTTCTTTCTGCTGTACCATCTTGCCTCTGGGAGCCAATAAGGGACAATGGCTGCTTGGGGTTGATTTGCACTCCCCTCCAAAATGCGTATGTTGAGATCCTAACCCCTAGCACCTCAGAACGTGACCTCAGTTGGAAGTAGGATGGTTGCAGGTGTAATTAGTTAAGATGAGGTTAGTAGGGTGGGGCCCTAGTCCAATATGACTGGTGTCCTTATAAAAGGGAAATTTGGACACTGAGACAGACACACATACAGGGAAGACAATGTGAAAAGACACACAGGGAGAAGACAGTCGTCCACAAGCCAAGCAAGAGAAGTCTGGAACGGATCCCTCCCTCATGGCCCTCAGAAGGAACCAGCCCTGCCAACACCTCGCTCCTGGACTTGCAGCCGATGGTTTGTGGCACATTGTTACAGCAGTTCCAGGGACCTAAGACAGTGGCTAAAAAAAGTGTGAGCTTTGAGTTACAAACAACCAATTTTAAATCCTTTTTTTTTTTTTTTTTTTTTTTTTTTTTTTTTTTTTTTTTTTTTTTTTTTTTTTTTTTTACTATTTTATACTTTGGTGACCTTGGGCAAGTGAAATTGCCTCTTTATGCTTCAGTCTCCTTCTGTGCAATAGAGAACAGCACCAACCTCATTGAGATGTTGTGACAAAAGATAAGTGCCTGAAGGGTGCCCAGCGGGAAAGAGTTTGGTAAATGGAGATGGGAGAAGGCAAACACCAGGGTACCCTGGTGGTGGGAATAGTCTCTGTCCCCCTTCTTGTCTCCTGGCCACTCACTGCTTTCGTCCAGGTACTTTTCCAAAGGCCATTCCTCGGCTTACCCTCTACATGGTCTGCCCTTTCCTCTCCTTCCCAAGGGCATACTTTGCCTCTGTAATCTTGCCCTTGTCTTTGTTCCCTATTCACCTCGGTTCTGGCCCCCTTCTCACCTTCTGACTGTTCTTCCCTCCAATCTCTCAATGCTGGTCTTGATGACTCCTTTCTCAGCCAGATATTTTCCATGCCTTTTTTAAATCTTCCTGAGCCACATAACTTTCCTTCCTTCCTCCTATCCAAAGATGTCATTCCAGGAGCATGTCCTCAAACTGCTTTCCTGCTCCAAGCTCTGCAAATGTCTTCCTTGACTGTGCCTGTCAGCACTCTTTTTCCTTGACTGGCCAGGGCAGTAATTTATTGCCACCCTCCTCGGGTAACCTGGCATAGTCTCCTAATGCTCATGTCCGCAAACAAAAAGTTTCTCAATCTACTGGTTGGAGGAATATCTCCGAGAACTCTTTCCTATCAGAAAAGATCAACTTGATTGGAAAGCAGACTTCTGCTTTTTGTCTAGCAAGAGACCTGCACTTTGAACTTGGGCTGTAAATGCACAATATTGATTTAGACAGCTTAGTGTCATGTGCTGGTGTCTAGATTTCTTCTTCCATGGAGGATTTCAGCAGCGAGGAAACACTGCAGGAGAAACACGCTCCAACACGGCTTTGTAGTAGCTGTGACCCTTTCTGTAGCTGTGACCATGGATAACTTGGAAACTGTTATCCTGGCGATGTAAATTCTATGAAAAATATCAGGGTAATTGCCAGTGTAGATTGATTTAATGATCCCAAATTTCACCCCTCTTTGAATCCATGTCCCTTTTTGTGGAGCCCTCCACGATGACTCTAGACTTGACCTTGTAACCTGTTTTGGCCAATGGCATAGGAGCAAACTTGATGCAATCGGAGGCTTGAAAAGTGTTATACCTTCCCACTCCTTTCTTATTAGAGCCTTGCCTTTACCATGAAAATTTGCCTAGGCTGGTCCGCTGGAGGATGAGAGGCCACGTGGAGCAGAACTATCCCAGACCAGTCGGACTGCTGCTTAACTGCAGATGCCCCATGAGGCCAGATTCCACCGAGCCTGGTCCAGGTCGGCAGAACCCTCCCAGCTGATTTGTAAACTCACTAGAAATAACAAACGGTGGTTGATTCAAACCCCACTACATTTTGGGGTGGTTTGCAGCTACCCACCTGCTACTCTGCTCCGTGGTTTGCTTTGCTTTGGATATAGTCTTGGTCCATGCTGACCGTTAAGATCATATTCTAATCTTCTCTTATCCAGTGTTGTTGGGAAAGCCACAGTGTTACTTCCAAGAAAACTGCTGCACTGACAATTGGAGGGCTTGAAATTAAAGTGCCAGGGAGACTTGTAATCAAGTCATTTTAGTCTGTGTACACTCACAGTTTATAAAAAGTATGTTAGAGCTGACTTTAACATAGAGGGACAATGTTTTCTATTTGATTGAGGGGCATTCAACACACAGAAGCAAACAAACCCCTAATTATAGATGCATCACTGTGCATAATCTTCACTGCTCTGGTGTGCAGTGGCTGGCTGTCTCAGGGGAAGAGTCTTCGTTCTCAGCTAAGGATTCCTAAACGTGCAGCTGGATTCTTTGGGTCTGAGAACACTTTTAGAGAATCTCAGAAATAGAGTGACACTTGTCCCAAGAATGAGTCCGCTCCATTCAGAAAGGACACCCACTCTAAAAGGGAGCATGCTGGGGTGGCCGTTATTTAAAGTTAGGGGCTCTTGGTGAAAAGCCTTGGTCCCTAGTAGGTCAAATTCTGTTAGCTTTAAGATATAAAATTAACTGCATGTACAGATGTTTTAGAAACAAATTTGTGCTTACAACTCGAAAACTGTTTCTCTCCCGTTCTGTGTTTAATGGCCATGTTGTGTTCCAGAAATCTATCATGTTAGAACAAAGTTGAATTTGTTTAATGCTCAACTAGTCTTCTCTTTCTGGAAGCAAATAGTTTCATCTACCAGTTAAATGACATGTTAAAAATGAACTTGAAATTATCTGGTGGGAAATATGTTTTCTAATTTTAAGATGAGCTGATAATTGTTTGCTGCTCTTCTGTGGTCCATATTATATGTGTGAAATTAAGGGGAGCAGCCTGTAAGGAGTGTGAGAAGCATTATGGCCAGTGGGGAGCCAAGTCTCTTGGCCCAAGAGGATCTAATGGGAAGGAGCAAAGCAGAACTGCATGGAGGAAGAACTCTGGAGTCAGGTGGGGCATCTGGTCTACTCAGGTCAGTCTCAAAGTCTGAAAAATGAATGATCGAGCTTTCCTACGGCTGTGAAGATAAAGGAGGCAATGTACACAGAGTGTTTAGTAGCAGTTATTGTTATCAAACTGTTACAGGTTGTTTTAGTGACCCCAAATATTAGCACTGAGAAATAAGCATCTAATTAGTCCCAAAAGAATATAATGGACATGTGGCTAATGGGGGGGGGGGGCTTTAACACAGGGGGGCAGAAATGTTACGCTATCTTGGATGTAGGCAGAAGTGCAAGTTATCAGATTGAGAGGGACACAAAAATCCAGGTGTTCCTACGGACATTCAAATGAAATGTTTCCAAAACAACAGGTGATTAAAGTAAAGGATTTATTGTAATCTGCTTACAGTCCTTTGCAAAGACAGACATATGTTTTTGCATAAAGATATAAATTGCTTCATTTTAAACTAATTTAGTGTTTTTTAATTATATGAAGAAGTTTTGGTGAAATATGAATTGTACCAAACCAAGATTTTTAAGAGCAATATGGTACAAAAATAAGAGCAGACACACAATTTGGACTGGGACAGGCATTCAACAGTGAATTTAGAATATGGCTTTGCTGTTTAATCAAGCAAAGTTACCTGGAGACACATAAAGAGCCAGTAACTTTGTTAATACAAAAAGCTGATGCAGACTGTCTCCATCCCAAACCTGGTTACAGTGAAATTCCAAGTTCATAAAACGTAAGTCTTGAGCTAAAAGCTGCTCTTGTAAGCCATTTCTTTTCTAGAAACTCCCAGTCTGCATGCTGAGTACTTATCACCTTCCAAGTGTGGCTTTCATATTGCTGTGCATGTAAGTTGACTATATTTAAAGATCTGCCTATAAATTAAATTACTGAAATTGCAAATTATGTAAGAAAAAGTCCTCCCTCTGAATGCAGCTTTCACAGGCTTCCCCTTGCATAAGGCAGGTGTCTTCTGAAAGACAAGGTAATGTTGCCTGCATGGTGAACCCTGGAGTAAAGTGGTGATCCCAATGCTGCCTTCTCCTGGCTTCTCCAGCTACAGCTTTTATGTTCTGGAAAATAATGTAATTTCACTGAGTACCTGATGATTATCGTCACTTTTAAAAGACTAATTTGGCCTCTGTTCAAAGTAGTTTATTTAGTGCAATCATATTGTTAAGTTTCCCCAAAGATATATAGGTTTGTGATCTGGGGCAAGAGAAAAGCGATAAATTGCATCAGTGCCAAACAAATTAATGAATTAAAAATTTTAGTGCCACTGTCTTGCTTATATGATCTGTATTTTTTTTCCCAAAACTGTTTATGTATAAAATTTATTTTTAAAACCTACCTTTTAAAAATCTAAAAACCCTCTAATTATCGTGCGGTCTCCACGCCACTCTGACCGAACCGTGCCAAAATGCATCTTCCCAGTGCGTCCTGCAATGGCCTATGTGTTCCCATGACCAGTTCCGGGAGTGCAAAACCCCTTTCCAAGACCAGAAGTGAACGTGTCACCTCCGCCGATGTAGAGAGTGCATGGAATTTCTTTCCCAAAGGAGAAAATCCAATTTTCTACAATGGGATGAGACTCAGCTCTCTGGGCCATGGCATTTCCGGTCTCACTCTCCTGGAGCCGATTCTGATTCTGCTTCGTGAGGAAGAAAGGAAAAGAGGCAACTCTCCTAAAGCTGCGGCACTCCCGGACACCCTCTCGCACGTGTGTTGTCAGGTGACCCCTTGGAGGAGCTGCGGGCACCACAGCCTGTCGCTCCCGGACGGAAGCAGGATGGAGCAGAAGCCAGAAACCGTGCTCAAGTCCCAAGAACACCCCAAGCGGGAGACCAGAGACAAAACAAAAGTACAGAAAAGGTAGAAAGGCTTAGAGACAACCAAAGAGGTTTAAGTGTGGTTATTTACAACAGAGACTGTAAAATGGTAAATTAGATATGAAGCTAAAAAAGGCACAGCTTTCCCTTTCTTAAATACACTGTAAACGGTTCATTATGCATGCAGAACATTTCACTTTACAAAAAAAATTTTTACCTTGTTTAGACAAAGATAGTACTTAAATAGTCTCCAGCAAAATAGAATTCTTTCAAAAATACTTTCCCCTTCATCCTATCAACCATTAAAGTTTTTTTGTTTTTTTTTTGTTTTTTTTTTTTTTTTTTTTTTTTTTTTTTTTGTATGTGTCTCATTTACAAAATTTCCTTATACCTTATTTCAGGTCCTTCACAATTGATACATACAGTAATGTACAGCACAGCAAAAGACTGCAAAAAATTATTTGTAAAGCCAACACAATAGATACTAGAAATTGAAACCAAGGCATTTGTTTAACATCTTATCCATTCTAATTAAATAAATGGACGCTAAAGGGTGTGTATACCAGTGATGCAGAGGAACGCGGGCGAATAAGCCCCCCGCCACCAAGGGGGCCGCTCTTCACTCCACGTGCTCTGTTATTACACAACAGGAATCTGTATATATTTTTTTTTGTGTGTTTTTTTTTAAATAACAAAAGAATATTAATGCCCCATATTGACTATACGTTTTATGTGCAACCAAGGGTAAGCTCTAAAAAGTTCGTTAGTCCTTGAACCCTTTTAAAACAAGCGATACCGGAAACTACATGGCATAGTTAAAACTTCCATCTGTTAAAATATCAAAATCAGAGAGTTATTGACTAGATATGGCTTTTCATCCAGAGGAACAGGAACATGTTTCTAAGCGCTGGGGATTGGACAGGGAAGAATCCTTCAGACCGCTCAGGTCTTGCCAAATCCGTGTCAAACTGCTTTCCCGGCTCCGAACCCTTGACGTGATTTTCAACTTGAGAAACTGCTGAACAAGTATGAATCAACCATCACATGTCAAAAATATGATTCCTTGGGTCCTTCGTGGGTGTAGAATAACATGGGGAAACTTAAGGCAAAGCTCTCCTGGTAAGACGTCTTCCGTCACTTCCTGTGAAAGTAAAGGGGCTTGGCGTTCCCGGACTCCACCTTGGGCAGCTGGTCGCTGATGATCTCCACCAGCATCGCGGGGAACTCGACCTTCAGGGCCTGGGACTCTCGGAAGGTGTAGAAGCAGAATTCCAGCAAGTCATTGACCAGCTGCAACACAGACGGGGAATAGGACAGTGAGGCCTCATCTCCGTCCCCATGCCCCTCTGTGTCCTAACCCTGCTGTAAGCTCAAGAGACTTGCAGAAATCTGACCAGGAAACCGTGGCCGTGAAGCTGCCTAATTTGGCTAAGGCATCTGTTTTGGGGGAGCATGGGGTGCTCATGTCTCCTGTCACCATGCCTTTCGTGCAGAACTGATCCCAGCTGAGAACTGAGTGTGCAATACTGAATATACCAGTGGGAACAGGGTCAGTTACAGAGGTCCTAGTGGTGGGGACACGGAATCGCTCTCCCCAAGTTCTCGTTCATAAACGTGTGAATTTGGTGGAGCAGGTGTGTACGTGTATCTCTATAAGGTAGTGATGGGCCTTCCCAGGTTATAAGGTGGGCTGAGGTGGAGGGGCAGGTGGTGCCCAGGCCTTTGCTGGCATGAGTCATGCTTCCTCTAGTCCCGGGTGGGCCCTGTCAGTTGGGGCTGTGGCCACATGCTGGCCTTCATCTTGCCACCTTCTTCTCTCCTTTGGCTTCTCACCCTGAGCCGGGGGGCAGGGTTGAGACTTCTCAGTACCCACCGCTAGCTTTATTAAGGTGTCACTGATGCGCTACACTATGTAAGATTAAGGTGCCCAATGGGCTGATCTGATACTTCTATATTGCAAAATGATTAACGCCTTCATTGTGTCGTATAATTACCATTTTTTTTTTGTGGTAAGGAAATTTAAGCTCTATCTACCCAGCAACTTTCAAGTAACAAATACAGTATTAACTATAATTATCATGCTGTATTTCACACTCCCAGAACTTATTTTGTTAGAACTGAAGTCTGTGCCCTTCGACCACCGTCTCTCCATTTCCCCTTTCCTTACTTACCACCACTCCATTCTCTGTTTCTGTGAGTTTGGGGTTTTTTTTTTAGGTTTCATATATAAGTAATGTCATACAGTAGGATGTATAATCTTTCTTTGTGTGACTTCACTTAGCATAATAGCCTCAAGATCCATCCATGTTACTGCAAACAGCAGGACTTCCAACTTTCTCACAGCTGTGTGTTTGTGTATTTCTTCTCCATTCTCAGCCGCTTTCTATTTCAGGCTGATTGTGGACAGCAAACAGCAAGGGCCACCTCCATGCCTACTTGCCTGTCCAGCTATTTTTCCTACTTGGTGACCCAAGGACCTTTTCCATCCTCCAGGACCTGAACCACTCCCAATTCTGTAAGTTAAAAAACCCAATTATCCACAAATGCGATATACCATTATTTCCATACCTCACTGTAGGAAATTTTTGGCCATTTCCCACTGTATTAAAGCAGACAATATTACAGGTCATAAAAGAACTCTGTAGTCTTAATAAAATGATGGTAGTGAAAATACCATCTATAACTTTCCCTCAGGGTTTTTTTTTTTTTAAACTCAATTTACAATCTTAAGAATAGTAAATAACTGTATGGCAAAGGCCTTTAATACAAAAAAAAAAAAATGTCATCAGGAAAAGTATCTGGTGCTTCTGTTTGTGCCTGTCTATGCCCTCTGTCTGCAGAGGGACATTACCCTAATGAGGTTCCAAGGACTGTGAGAGCTTTAATAAGTCTCATTCACTCACAGAAGGTTGGGGTCAAATAAACTGGAAAACAGCACAAGCCACTGTCCAGTCTGGGCACGTTCACATCTCTGCACTTGCTTTGTGAATGCTCTCAGTTTCTATATCTGTAAAATGGGGTATCCACCTCCCAGGGTTGTTTAAGAGGATGGAATGAGTGAACTGCCATAAAGCGAGTACAATATGGATGCCAATTCTCAGTCAAGATGTTGACAGGTACTGCTGGTAAAACCCCTCTGATTCCATCCTCCCAAGTGGTCCCAAACTCTCTAAGCCATAAAACATCCTTTTTCTCTATGGGACACAGTTTGCAAAATCTGCTCTGGGTCATCTTTGTGTAATTTTGTATCCTCGGGTCCCCCCTTCTATAAATTGAGGCGCAGGAGAATTTTGTGTTTTACCTTTCCAGGAGAGAGATTTTTAGAATTGGGATCCCAGATTTCTTACTAATTTTTTTAAGGCAGTGGGCTAGTGGCCCGTGAAAGCTAAAAGCTGGGTGCCACTCTCCAGGTGTGGTGCCACGAATGAGTTAGTAGTTTCGACTGCAGAGAACGCCTTTCAGTGGGTGACAGCAGAGCTCTGTGCACCAGCTGCCGGTACAAAGAACCAAGTTTAAGTTCATCCTGATCCCTCCCCCCATCCTGCCCCCAAGGTCTCTCTGTGTGGTGCCTGCAGGGCTATAAAGGAGGGTGATTTTTCCTTTTAAAGAATGTTAACCTCCATTTAAAATTGTACCAAAAGGGAGTGCCTGGGTGGCTCATTGAGCGACCGACTTGGGCTCAGGTCATGATCTCATGTTTCGTGGGTTCGAGCCCTGCATCGGACTCTGTGCTGACAGCTTGGAGCCTGCTTTGGATTCTGTGTCTCCCTCTCATCTCTGCCCCTCCCCCGTTCATGCTCTGTCTCTCAAAAATAAATAATTAGAAAAATTTTTTTTAATAAAAAATAAAATTGTACCAAAAAGAATAAAGTACCTAGGGATCAGCTTAACGAAGGAGGTGAAAGACCTGTACTCTGAAAACTATGAAACACTGATGAAAGAAACTGAAGATAACACAAGCAAATGGAAAGATATTCCGTGCTCATGGATTGGAAAAATACTGTTCAAATGTCTATACTACCCAAAGCAATCTGCAGAATTAATGCAATCCCTATCAAAATACCAACAGCATTTTTCACGGTACTAGGGCAAACTATCCTACAATTTGTATGGAACCACGAAAGACCTCAAGTAGCCAAAGCAGTCTTGAAAAAGAAGAACAAAGCTGGAGGTATCGCAATTCTGGATTTCAAGATACACTACAAAGCTACAGTAATCAAAACAATACAGTACTGGCACAAAAACAGATCATAGCTCAATGGAACAAAGGGCCCAGAAATAAACTCATGCTTATATAGTCAATTAGCCTATAACAAAGGAGACAAGAATATACAACGAGAAATACAGTCTGTTCAATAAGTGGTGCTGGGAAAACTGGACTACTTTCTTACACCATACACAAAAAATGAACTCAAATGGATTTAAGGACTGAATGTGAAACCTGAAACCATAAAACTCCTAGAAGAAAACATAGGCAGTACTCTTTGACAGTAGCCTTCACAACACGGTGGAGAGACGGGCAGAATGAAGAGGGGCGGGAGACACAGGCTTCCAGCTATGGAATGAGTAAGACATGGGGATGAAATGTACAGGATGGAGAATACAGTCATTGGTATCGTCAATACAACGCTGCATGGTGACAGGTGGTAGCTATCCTTGTGGCGAGCACAGCATAACATACAGACTTGTCCAGTCACTACGTTGTACACCCAAAACTAATGTAACATTGTGTGCCAACTATACTTCAATAAAAAAAAAAAGGGAGACCACTCACTTTCTAGGCAACATCAACCCCCCCTTAGGCTGGCTCTGCTGCCCTTTTCACTTCTCTGGGGTTGGCCCTAGTTCATGTCCAGAGATGAAGGCTCCCTGTCCCTGGGCCACAGGGTGTTCAGGGAGGTGGAGGTCCTTTTCCTTAAGTCATCCTCCGTGTGTGTCCATCCAGGTTATGGAGCACCTGCTCTGGGCTGGGCACAGAGAAACCATGACAAACACAACAAAGCCTTGGTCTCAGGGTATCTATGTTCTGTTCTGCCTGAGAGGAAATGATAAATGCGGTCAGGTGCCGGCAGTGCAAGAAGGGACAGAGGAGGTGCCAGTTTTGGAAGGGTGATCCAAGTGCCAAGGGGGTGGTGGCTGATGACCTGAAGGAGGTGGAGCAGAGCTATACAGCCATCAGGGTGGGTGTGGGGTCGCTCAGAGGGTTCAGAGCAGTGCGAAGCTCGTGAAGCGGCACCTGTTAAGTGACCAGCTGACATTTGAAACAAGTTACCTGGCAGGGCCAGGGCCACTTAGGGTTTATATTTGTAAACATGCCAAGTCACATATGCGATAGGAGATGAGAAGCAGAGTAAATCAGGTCTTGAGCACCAGGCAGCACACACGGGAGCATCTCTGGGACCCTGTTAATGGGGACACACCTACCTTTAACACCTCATGAGCATCACCTAGGAGATGCTGAGGGGAGAGACCAGAGCCCAGGGCTCAGCTGTCATCCCTGACAGGGTGGCTGAGGACAGGTGTCCCTAACCAACCATGCATATTTACCTGGGGCTGGCATTTCACAACCGCCTCTGTTCCACAGACTGAGACAGCAGTTCCTTTCCTGTCATGAGCGGACACCCAGGGCTTCTGTTTACAGCGAACGCCTCAGCCAGCTGCAGAGGGATGAGGGCTTTCCTGGGGCACGGGGGGGGGGGGGGGTAGGCCTGGCAGCCTGGGATTGGGTATCTCGCCCTGTGAACACCTGGGAGTCAGGGGACTCCATCACTCTCTCAGGAAAGGGCTCACCCCTTGCTGCTGAGGCGGCCAAGATGCCCATGGGGCCGGGAGCGCCCAGAAAGCGCTGGCTGCTTCAGGAGTCTGCCTGGCCCACTCCTCCTGAGGCAAAGCTGAAGACCTCTGTAGGCCTCAACCCAGCAGGACCTGGGCCAACAACTAACCATGGCTGTGAGGTGAAGGGTTCTTTGGGAGAATCGAAGCCAGGTGCTCCTGGTCGCCGGGCGAGGAGAACATGGGCCAGTCTGATCCAGGTTGCAGGTTCTGCCTGCCAAGTGTTCACTGGCCCACAAAGCCCTCCCACCGCCCTCCCCAGCCTTGGCCTGCCGCACCCTGTGGGTCAGGGGCTTTTAGGACAGGACCCATGCGTACCTGGCCCTTAACAGGTGTCTGAGGTGGGCTGCTGCAGTACAAGGGCAGCGCACGTACTGGAGCACACAGGGCACAGGAAGGGTGAAGCTGCGTGCGGTCAGAGCGCGAGGAAGCGGGGACTGGGCCCTGGCAGCTAAGCA